GATGTGTTGCACGTCGTCGTCGTCCTTCAATCGACAGCGTTCTTCTACCCGGAATGGTTTGCGGACCGGACGTAGAAACGTCCTCAGAGTCAGCTGATTGGGCCAACTAAGCCGCTAGCGACGACCGGACCGGACAACTAGAAGGCTATGATCTCATCGGCTATAAGCGAAGATGCGCCGACAGGTCCAGATCGATGCATTCGCACTTTTTGATCTGAAAATAACAGCAAAAATAGGTGTAAACAAGAAAGTTGATCACTAGATCGATTATCGATCGAAAAATGGTGTGTACAAACCTTCACAATGGACTTGGTAATTTGTGGCGGATCTTGTCCAGGGCAGTCCAATGTGACATTGACGGCATCGTAATCTCGAGGCACGCAACGCCGCACACGACTTGAAAACAGCCTTCAGCTTTTTGCTGTTTAGTCGTGGAATAAAGTACGATGCACAAGTACCGTGGCAGTACCTGAAACAAGATATCATAAAGTCCGTGATTGCGGACTATCGTGATTCTGAAACATTTTTGCTCTAGCACGTTCCCTTATAGTCATTATCCTTGTAAACGACGGGGCGTGGCCTGGAGTCCAGCCAAGGCAGATTTTTCACACTGTAGCGAGTTCATGATAGCATCATCGATGAGGAAAATGTTGATCTGGCTGCGCCCCAGTTCAGGCCGTGTGTCACGCCCTATCGTTTTCAGAGATCATAATAGTAGGTTGGTGTTGAGTAAGGTAATGAGACGGTTTTCTTGTGCCACAGTCGTCGCACTACGGTAGACGTAATTTTGCACAGGAAGTCTTTGGTAGCCATGAAATATTGCGAACTTCATTCCATCTCCACCTCTCTTCTTATGATTATTTCAATCTTGGGATGCCTTCGGTGGTAGAAGGCGCAAAAAACCGCTGTAAACTAGAAGAGAAGAGAATTCTTGCTAGACCTTGGGGAAAGGCGCTATAGGGTGGACTTATTCCTTTGAGCAAACAGGCGATATATGCGCCTCCCAAAAATGTACTTTTCACCTCGTATGCAAGCCTAATAAGAACCAGAAGATCTGCTTCGGCAAATCAACTCCACGCAATCCTGACTCGTCTGTGCCCGCAGCAGGTGGAGCCTTTGGAGGAAGGTAATGCACGTGAAGTGAGGCGATCTATCGTCCAATGGACACACAATCATTTGAGATGAAGTTTACAATTGGAATTCCTACCATAGTTTCGTTCTTCAGGACATGACCCCTTTTCCCGGTCCTACCCATTCATCCCGATTTTTTCCCAAACTCGAAAGGGTTTGGACACCTCCCATCAACTATCAGAAAAAGTGGTTTTGAGGACATATAGCGCGTGAAATAGGAAAAACAATGAGAAAAAATTTTCACAGCACAGTACGAGCCTCTCCTCCAGAGACCAGTTAAGACCCCCACTACATTCTACAGAGCGAACACTGAGCTTGGGGCTGTAGCCATGAAAAATCAACACTCAGAAAACACCGAGGTGCTTGGTTCTAATCATTCCATTGGGGATATTCTACGCATATAATTTTTATTCAGAATCGTAGAGTCTGCTCGACCCCGAGCCTAAAATCGATGAGGAAACAAATTGAATCTTTATCATTTTATCGAGGTTCCCTTTTCCAGTGATTATTTTTAGTTCAGTCTTCGAATATTCACGTTCACTGTACTGTTTTCCTTGTCTTGGCTAGGACAGGCACGTTCACACGAGAGGAAGTCGGTGCTGGTGGACCTTGCCAATTATTCAGGCGTCCTGATGGCAGCACACGTGATCAGAAGGACGTCTGCCACCTTTCTTTTTCCCCTGTGGAAGCTCCCTCGAAACATGTCAGTGTCCCCCCTACGTATCAAGGGATTCTGGTCACGCCGCACCCCGATATTATCAGTTCCATCACTTAGAATCAACCCGTAATTGACAGGCATGCGAGCAAAATATGACAATAACAGGAGGCACAGTAGCCGCGATATACCGGGACAGCCCTTCCGTTAGGCAACGATTTTTGGTCTCACGATTCGGGAACCCGTAAATGATCACATGGTAAAATCGGATCGATGACGTTGAGGCTTATCATCCCGAACTACTTTTGGATACCCACAA